AACATGATTTGCAGTACAGTTACTTAATTTTTACCAAATGTGCTTTCTGCCACGCTTTAGTTGAAGTACATATTTATTTGATATTTCGCTGGCAAAAGTTTAAAAGAGCCTCCAAAATACCCATCTGCTTCTGCTACGCATGACCCTACCAGTCTCACCTCCGACACACTGTAATGGTTTTGGGGAATGATAGCACTGCACAGATGTGATTTATTCACAGATTGTGGGTGACTTTCTGCTAATTTACAGGGGGAAAGCACAGCTTTCCACTGGAGCGTGAAGCTGACCCACAGAACAAACCTGCCAGCACAGAGAGGGACAGCAAATCTCCTTCCTTGAGGCAAACACTGAATCACAGGATGGTTTTATAAGGGACCATCCCATTTCCACCCCTGCCATGGGCAGGAACATCTTCCACTATTCCAGGTTGCTCCAAGCCCCATCCAACCTGGCCTTGGACACTTCCAGGGATGGATAAAGTTGCTCATAAGTAACACAAGGTTGCTTAAAACCTGGTTGCAGAATAGTCTTCCCTAACCTTCAGTAAACCAAAAGTAAGAGAAACCTCAAAACCATGAGATTTAAATAATATGAAGTTGACACCTCTTTCCCTTTACCTTCTGGATTTTGAGCCTTTAAGTTTATTTCCTCCAGCTCTTCCCTTTTATCCCTCTCTATCAAGAGGAAGGGCTGAGATTCCTGTCCTGGAGTTGCTTCCATGTGTTGCAAAACGCTGGGACAGGACCCAGGAGCCCAACTTGCTGAAACAGAGTTATTTAGGGGTGATGGAGGTGACCTTCCAAAGGTGGGACAGGGGAATGAGCATCCTGCACCTCCTGGCATGCAGAGGTGGGCTCTGAGTGTGTGTCAACACTTGAGCAGCAAGGAAACAAGGAGACAGCAGTGTGGAGACAGCTGGAGAGCAGAGAGTGAAGAAACAGGAATGCAGGAGGGGTGGAAAAGCAAGTGCAAGGCTGGGAATGAGAGGAAAGGGCTGCAAAGGATCAGAGAGAGAGGCAGGGAGAAGGAGAAAGGGGTGGAATAATTATCTCCATCCCTGCAAACACTTGCAGGGAGTTTCTTAGCTGGATGGAGAAAGAAATTCAGAGATGATTTGGTGAGGGAAGGAAGCACAGGCATGTGTGATGAGGAGCAGGGAAGATGCAGAGGAGCAGCAGCAGAGACCCTCCTGTTCCCCCAGCATTTCCCATCTGCTCTTCATCCCCTGAGATCAGCTGGTGAGGCACAGGGCTCCTCTGCACACCAGAAACAGGAAAAGGAGAAAGAAACAGCCCCAGCCTCCAGTGCACTGATAAAAAATATGGAGAGGAGCTGTTTACATGGCATGTAGTGACAGGACAGGGGGAGAATGGCTTCAGACAAAGGGAGCAGGTTTAAATGGGATATTAGGAGGAAATTCTTGGCTGTGAGGGTGATGAGCACTGGCGCAGGCTGCCCAGAGAAGCTGTGGCTGCCCCTGGATCCCTGCAAGGGCCAAGGTTGGAGTGGATGGGGCTTGAAGCCAGCTGGGATAGTGGCTGTAGCTCCCTCAGAGTGTTGGTGATGGCTGGAGTTAAAGGGATGATCTCCTGATGGATCCTGACTGATGCCTTGTGTGCACCAACCCTTCCCTGAGCTGCCAACAGGGACTTGGAACACATTCACACCTAAAACACAGAGATGTCCACACCTCTGGGAAATGATGGGACCTTTGCATGCTCTGTCTCTGGGTTTCAGTGACAAACCTCCTCTCCCTCCTTCCATCAATGTCTGTATAAAATATGTTTCTAGATAATGGTGAAAAGCTGCTGCATTCTGCTCCTCAGAGCAGTGCACATCTACTGAGTGGGCAAGAGCTGCTTGTCACCTCTCAGTGCCCAGAGGAGCTGCAAGGCAGGACTGGTTTCAGCCACAGACCACAAGGCAGAGCTGGGTTCCATCTCCCTTGGAGCCCAGGGAGTTCATCTCCAGAGGAAAACCCCCATGTGCAAACCAAGGACCCCCAAGTTCACTGGGGGAACACCCTCCTATGCAGAAATAGGCCTTAAAAAGGCCAGGGGGTTATTTTGGCAGCACGAGAAAGATGTTCCTTGTGTCCAGATTTACAGTGACAGCTCTTTTTCAGATGTTCCAAGTTAAAAGGTGCTTTGCTGGGATTTCCAGAACTGTGGTAAGACTGGGACAAGCTGGAGAAATTTGCTTTGCCACAGGGGCTTCCATTCTTGTGGGGGGCTGGTGAAAGGTGGAGCCAAGTCAGGCAAAATCACAAGGTTTGGAGTCCTGTGAGGAGTGGCTGAGAGAGCTGGAGCTGTTTAGCCTGGAGAAAAGGAGGGTCAGTGAGGATCTCACTGCTCCTCACCACTCCCTGAAGAGAGGTTGTTATGAGGTGGGGTCTGTCCTCTCTCAAGCAACCACCCACAGGACAAGAGCAAATGGCCTCAACTGCACCAGGGGAGGCTCAGGTTGGATGTTAGGAAAAAATTTCATCAGTGAAAAGAGTGGTTAAGTGTTGGAAGAGGCTGCCCAAGGCAGTGGTGGGGTCACCATCTCTGGATGTGCTCAAAACAAAAGTATAAGTGGCACTTCAGGATATGGTTCAGTGAGCACAGGAACATTTGGTCAAAGGTTGGACTTGATCTTAGATGTCTTTTCCAACTTTCATGATTTTATGATTCTATGAAAACAGCTCTTAATAACTGCACAGGTAATAACAGAACCCCTCTTATATCTGGGGCACAGACAGGGATGAGCTGAAGGAAAAAAAAAAACTCAAGGAGAAACCTCCTCCTTCCTTAGGGATGGCACAAGCCCTGGTGCCTGTCTACCTTTAAAAAGGTCAGGTTAAATCATCAACCCCCTGTACCCCATCTCCACAGATCTCCCAATACCACTGTGGGCAGTGAAAAACTCTGATAAGTCAGATCTTCACCCTTTTGTAAAAGATCTGTGCATGGCTTGTAGAGTGGGTGGCATATTTGCTCCCCAAGGGCAGCCTCTTCATAATCCTGCCTCCAGCAAAGGCAACCCCCTGCACCCACTCCCTGAGGCTCTAGAAATGTTAATTTATTCAAGCATTAAAGTGTGTTCTATCCTGAGCACACAGGTAGTGACTGCACTGCTGAGATGGCAGTGCTATCCGCCTCAGATAAAATCACATTTGGGCAAAGGCTGATGTAGTGCTGAGTGTTTCACAGGCTCACATCAGATTTTAAATAACAACATTCCCTGCCTTTTTCAACAGCCTCTCTCACACAGGGACACCCATGGGATTCAGAGATGGGTGGGAGGAGATGATTGATAAATCACAGAGTTCCTGAGCTCTCTACAGGGCTTGGGGTCCTAAAACCACCAGCTTCAACTTGTGCTCTGGAACAGCCAAGCCCAAAATGAACCTGCTCATGCTGTGATGGTCAGGGAAGTGCAGGTAGCCAATGGACCAGCAAGAATAAGTTTTTTGAAGTTTCTGAAGGAAAAATGAACTTCTCTCTTGCTCCAGATTTCATGTTTATGGATGTGAGGGAATGAAGGTTGCTGTCCCACTGCCTTTTCCCCCAGAGGTTTGAGACAGCCCCTGGGTGTCTCTGCAAATCTGAAGAGCTGTGCAAAGGCAGCAGTGGTGTCTGAGGTGACCTCAGGTGGACCTGTACTGCACAAAGAGGTCACTGAGAAAACCTGAAAACCCTGGGCTGGTTATTGGTGCATTCATGGTTCTGCTCCAGGGCTTCGGCCCTCCAGGAGCCCCACTCTGTGCAGAAGGAAAAAGAAAAAGCCCAGACAGTGAAAGGATGAGGAAAAGGAATGGTGTCATGCTCAAAGTCTAGCAGGAGCTCGGGCATCACCTGCCTCCAGCTTCTCACCCCATCCCAAAAAGAGACTGGAACTGCTTTCACTTCAGGACTGGAAGTGAAATCCCATCCTTGCCCAGCATGGAGCAGATAAGAAGGAATCTCAGCTCTATTATCCTGTCCTTTCTCCTGAGTTCTGGTATCTCTCAGCCTCTTTAATCAGGAGGAATTTACAGAGTTGCTCCCCTCCCCACACCAAATTTTAGGTATAAATATGCACAGTAGAGGGAAATGGTTGGAAGCATCACAAACCACTTTATTTTAAGTGGTGCAGGAGGAACAAAATATCACTTGTAGATTAAAAATATAACCAGTAATACTTGTTTAATAAATCATTGAATATGTATGGGTGAACATGTTCCACTCAGACTGCTGGCCTCCACTGTAGGGCAATTGCCATCACCCTACCACAATCCCTCGTTGCTCCCATTCTTTTTGTGGACTTAAAGCTCCTCATGAGCATCTGTGAATCAGCCAGGTATGATAGCTCAAGTAATCCTGCACACCCACAGGACTAAGTACAAACAGTGCATTTTCCATGTAAAATTAGCTCCTCTTCCTACCCCCTCCCCAAGCAGCAAACTTCCCAAGGCCAAGAATTCCATTAAAATCAGCCAGGATTCCATGCTGAGTGCCCAGCCTGGTCCTTCCCTGGGATCTGGCTGCCAGCATTTTCAGTCACAATGCTGAAAACACAACAGGAGCACCACACTAAACTTGGTCTGCACCTTTGCTGGCAGCATCTTACAATCTTGCCCAGTGTCCCAGAGAGGCTCCAGCCTCTCCAAAAACTCTGGTTAGAGACAGATCATTCAGTGATTCAGTTCTACACCTTCCTGAGTCTGTGGCAGATGCTGCCAAAATTTGGGTGGGGGTGAAGAACAATGCAGCAGCAACTCCTTGTCCAGCAGCCAGCAGGACAAAGCAACTCTGGGGGTGGTTCCTGCCCCCTGAGTTCTGCGCCCCTGGCCCCTCAATATTGCAAAAGTATATAAATGTCATGGGTTTTTGAGCATAAAAACCCTGAGGTCGACAACAGAGCAACATCCTTGTAGGACATGTGGTCACTGGCAGAATTCATGAGCAGCCCTGATGTCCACAGCAGGGTGGAGCTGAATGGTTTCTAAAGCACCACGGGCTGCTGGAGTTCCTTACCTGCTTCTCGGACATGATGTAGAGGTGCTCGTGGTCCATGGAGAAGGCCATGTCCCGGAGGATGGGGCCAGTGTCCACCACCTGCACGATCTCGTACTCCAGCGTGTTCTTGGCGGTGCCATCCACACGGATCTGTGCAGCAACAGCAAGAGCAGAGGGAGAACATGAGGATTTTTTTCCTCCTTTCGCTGAAAACAAATAATTGCAGAACCACTGAATGGTTTGTGTTGAAATGAACCTTAAGGATCATCTCATTCCAAGCCCCCTGCCATGGCAAGGACACCTTCCACTGTCCCAGGTGCTCCAAGCCCTGTCCAGCCTGGCCTTGGGCACTTCCAGGGATCCAGGGGAGCCACAGCTGCTCTGGGCAACCTTCTCTCTCACCACCCTCACTGTAATATATATCTGTTTGTAATATATTTAAAACAAATTTTATATATGTATAACTTATTATATATTATATATACATATAATGTATATTATATACTTATATATTATATACAATTATATATATTACACATACATATAATGATTATAACATATAATATGTAATATACAATATATAAATATATAATATATATTATTATATATAATATATAATATATAATATATAATATATAATATATAATATATACATATATACATATATACATATATACATATATAAAATATATATACAAAATAACCACTGGACAAATGTATTGCGCCCCAGGTCTTTAGGACAGCAACCACTGTCAACAAAAAGTGAACTTTTCCCGGGCTCCTCACCAAAAGGATGAAGCAGATTTCATCACATCTGCTGGTCCCATCAACACAAGGGCACGGTAAGAACAATGCAGAGCCTGCTGGCTTTTATCTGGCCCTGTCACTGTGCTCCTGTCACCACTTGGATAAATCTACCACGCTCAAAATGATGGCAATGAGAGAAGGATCTGTGGTGGTGATGAGCAGAAGATAAAAAAGCCACACAAATCTGCAGGACTGACTCACTTGAATGCTGCTCAGATAATATTATTGCTCTTATTGCTAATGTTCCACAGGGCAATTTATTATTGCAGAGTGTGCAGTGCAACACAGACTATTTCTCTTGCTGATTGTATGTATCAGGTATTGAAATCAGTCCTGCACCAATGTGGCACCTTATGATTCCAGACACATCTCATAACAGGGTGTCACTTAGGGACATCAATAACTGGGATTATGAGCAGGAACCAGACACACAGTCCCAGCCTGTCCCTGACAATGATCCAGTGATGCAGAAGAAATTGCAGAAAACAACAGACTTTTCTTTACCTGCTTAAAAACAATTTCTAGAGTCTGGGCTCAAAAGCAGCTGGAGAAGTTTTGCAGTCCCTTCCAGTATAGAGCAAGTCATGAGAAAATAGCTGTTCTCAGGAGTTCTCCTGAACCTGCACAGCAGCAAACCCCACAGTCATGTTTCAGAGGTGCATCTACATTCCTTATCTCCCTGTGTTGCCTTTCACTTCCTGAAAATTTTCTACCCTGCAGCAACACAAACACCACATTACCTTTCCCTAAAAGACACAGAGTTGTAGGAGATCTTCATCATGCCCCACATTACAATCTCCATTCCTTCCTGACCAAAGATTCCCAGTCTGCAGTTGGTTAGCTGAGCAAAAAGCATCCTTCCCCCCATCCAAAGGAAATAACAAGCTGTGGAGAACTTATGGTGTCAAGACCTGTTCCCACTATTCCCTGGCACAGTCTTTGAGCTTGTTCCTTCTGTATCAACCTCTCAGCCAAGAAACTGAGCCTGAATCATCTTCTGTATTGGAAAGTCAAAGAGAAGGGAAGAGAGGGAATGATAAAGGCTCTGGAAAGTCTGTATGAGTAAAAGAGCAACGACATACAGATTGTTATCTTTGTCCTTCCTTGATGTACTCACCTGCTGTGGGACAACAAAGGAATATTACTTCCCCAGGAAAGATAAGGAAAATGAAGCAGAAAGGAGTTAGAGGGGCTCTCTGTTCCAGCAAAGGGTGTGGAGGGTGCTCAGGGATGCTCAGATCCTGCGTGCTGCCCATCAGACTCCTCAGAAGTGGGAGCACGTGCAGGCCTGGGCTGCTGGGCTGCTCCAATGACACGGGAGGATTTGCAGTTCATTTGTCATCTTGATGGAGCTGCTGATGATAGCAACACACGTCCAACATCGGCACACACAGAGGTCAGGGCCTGAAGCCCAGCACTGAGCATCCCTGATACACCAAGGGGTCAGGGAGTCAATCCCAGCACTGAACATCACTGAAACACAAGAATTCAGGGCCTAAATCCCAGTATGGAACATCCCTGAAACACAAAAAATTCAGGGTCTGGACATCACTGAAACACAAAGAATTCAGAGTCTGAACACCACTAAACATCATTGAAACAGAATAATTCAGGATCTGAAGCCCAGCACTGAAAATCCCTGAAATACAAAGAATTCAGGGTCTGAACATCACTGAAAATCCCTGAAACACAAAGACTTCAGGGCCTAAAGCCCAGCACTGAAAAATCCCTGAAATACAAAGAATTCAGGGTCTGAAGCCCAGCACGGAACATCCCTGAAATACAAAAAATTCAGGGCCTAAAACCCAGAACTGAATATCTCTGAAACACAAAGAATTCAGGGTCTGAAGCCCAGCACTGAACATCACTGAAACACAAAGAATTCAGGGTCTGAACATCACTGAAACACAAAGAATTCAGAGTCTGAACACCACTGAATATCACTGAAACACAAGAATTCGGAGTCTGAAGCCCAGCACTGAACATCACTGAAACACAAAGAATTCAGGATCTGAACATCACTGAAAATCCCTGAAACACAAAGAATTCAGGGTCTGAAGCCCAGCACTGAACATCACAGGCAAACACAAGGAATTCAGAGTTTGAAGCCCAGCACTGAACATCCCTGACTCCCACCAGCTCTGGCTGCCTGGGAGCAGGGGGCTTGCCCACGTCCATGGTCCTTCACAGGGAAATTCAGCTCCTGAGTCTTCCTTTTTGAAAATGGACCCTGATGTAAATCACGCATGGGGTCAAGGACAAAGGTGCCAACAGGCTTGGGCTGTCATTGCCCTTAGGACAGGCAGGGGAAAGGAAGGAGGCAGGGAGGGCTGCAGGCTGAGGAGCATGGAGACAGCCCTGCTGGGGCTCTGCTCCAAGCACATCAAATACCCCCACAGCAGGAGCCTTCCCTCTTTCCTTCTGAGCCTTTCCAGCTTCAATTCTCCCTTTCAGGGAGCAGCCAGGGAGCTTTGTCTGCTGTCTCCACTCTGCCTCCCCTCAGTCCCTCGTGGCTTCTCATTCCCATCACAGCATCCTCACTCTCTGCTGATCCCTGTGCTAAACAAACCTCACATCTTCGCTGCTCTGACCTTGATTTTCCAGCAGCACCATGGTCAGATCTGCAGGCTGCCAGATATGTAAGCAGCCAATTATCACCCCAGGGCTCAGGCACTGTCCTCAGCCTTTGCCAGGCCCCATTAGAGGGGAGAGAGCTCGGAGATGGAAGAGGCAGGCTGCAGGAACAGCCAGCTGGAGTTAACAAACCATGGAGACAGGAGGCACAGCCCCCAGGGATCTCCCCTGTGCATTTGGTGCAGGTAAAAGATTGCAGAGGCTTCACACCAGGAATACAGAGCTACTCGGAAGTGATTTAACAGCTATTGCTGGCCTAATAGCCTGAAAAGTCATTATTTTGCAGAGGGGGAGGGAGGGCAGGAGGGACAGGGCATGTCCTGTCCATGTGCAAACACACACATGTGTGCTCACACACCCACAGCCCAACAGCTCTAAGTGCAGGAACCCCTCTCTCCACTTACATCTAGTAGCTAATAAAAAGGAAAATGAGATATTCACATTCTCTGAACAGAGAGACATGATTCTCTCTCCCAGGATTTTTCCCAGGAAGTTGTGAGATGCAATGAGAAAACTCTGAGGAAGACGAAAACAATTCTTATCTCTATTGGCTGCTCCTGTTGTTTGGCACATGTGGAATGTGTTATGGAAGATTGTCTCCCGAAGAATGATTTGTTAATTGGGCACTGGTGATGGTTGTTTGGATTGATTGGCCAATTGGGTCAAAGCTGTGTTGTCACTGTCTGGAGACAGTCACAGGTTTTTCTTTAATATCTTTTTAGTATGATGTAGTTTTAGTACAGTATAGCATTAATGTAATATAATTTAACTTAATAAAAACAATTTATTCAACCTTCTGCAACATGGAGTCTGAGCACGTTATTCCCTGCGCAGGGGGATAGGATTTTCCTTCAATAGGAAAATCCAGAAAAAGGCCAGAAAATCTGGAAGACACCAACCCCCAGCCTGTATGAGCCCTGTGCTAGCAGTGAGGTGATTATTGGAGACTGCAGCCAAAAGTCTAGCCACTAACTCCAGCCATCCCTTTACCTGTCTTAAACCCTGTCTTTCTTATGTTGGATGCCAGGCACAGAGCCCTGAGGATCTCCACCTTCCCTGCACATTCTTCACAGTCCTGAGCATCAGACAACACAACTGCACTTTCTCTTAGAGATTTATTCCTGGCTCCAAGGCTCCTGCAAGAACCAGGGCACTTGGGTTGGTGAAGAAAATCAAAGAAGAGTCTGCAAAGGAAAAATGGGAAGATTCTCATCAAAGGCTGCAGGTGATCACCACTAAAGTCAAGCACAATCTCTGCTTGGAAAGCTCCCCAAGTTTCCAGCTGCAGGGAATTTGGAGAATGTACCACCCATTCCCTCTGTTCCTGCTCTTCTCTGCTGGCATCAGCCCCAAGCCCCACCTGGAGCTGGGGTGCTGGCATGGACAGAGATTTCTTCTGACTGAAGGATGGGCATTCCCATATTCAAGATGTTTTTGGAGGCTGTGGGATGAGAACCTGGCTGGCAGTCCAGTTGGGATCGCTTCTGGGAGTTGTCTGTGAACCATAAACTCCTCTGCAGGACAAGAGGGAGTGACAGAGGGGGCAACAAGTGACAGAGGGGACTCCAGGACTGTGAGAACCCCAGGTTTGGTTTGGGGTCTCGTGTGGTGGTAAAGTCTCTCCTCCAACCCGTGCTCCCAAAGAAAAACTCCGCAGCCTTTCATTGTTCGGTCTCAAGATGTTTTATTGCTAGTTATCTAACAGATTA